CATAGTAACAATATTTTATACTACATTTATCCATTTTATATACACTAACCTCACTCCTTTGTAACAACTAAGACAAAAATGTAATTAATTCAGAAAATCTTTTCAGGACCCCACCTTGATGTTTCGGGACCCCACTTTGGGAAACACTGCTGTAAGGTATACTGTGCACAATTATTTTTTTTTTGCAAAAAACATGAAAAGCTGTTCTTACATGAGAAAAGCCACCGTAGCTATAACCCCACATGTGTGATAGGCATGATGAAACTCTCCCTGATCAGGATATTTCACTGCTGCATCAATGATGATCCACCACCCTGTGAAAAACTGCAACAAGATTCGACAGTTGACCTAAATAAAGCTCAAAGACATTTGCACACTGACATGACAAACTGCGTTGAAATAGTCAGGAAATGAGCACTGTTTAGCACCAGTTAGAGGGAAATGTTGATTGTAAACACAAACAAAGCAGTGCATAATATCATTCAGTTGATATGCATGACTAAACTCTGGAAATCGGTGTAAATACCAGAACTCCAGCAGCTACAGAYGCAATGGTGTTCCTCCTTTCTCCCCAGTCAACATTGCACTCGCAGTCTCCACAGCGGATTCCGTCCAGAAATCCTGACATGACTATGAGAAAAGGTCCATCAAAACACAAACAAACAAACCAGATGCAAGACGAAAATACTCGGTGACTTCACGARACGTGTTGGGGGACAAATATGTACCGACAAAACAAGGAACAGGTGAGGTAAAGCGCCTCGAAGGTGGTACGGAATCTGAAAAAACTGCGCAGTCGCTGTTAGGATGATGCTAAATCCTTTTGCTCGCGAGCCCCAACAAACCCTACTGTAACCCAAGATTTAGACCCTAAACCACGTAAATCTGTTACAATAATTTTATTACAATAATGCTGACGTGTGCTGTTATATACTTTAAAAGCTAAACGTATTTTCAGAGCATAAAACGCCTGCGCCGTCGGACTCTTTTGTTCGTCGGCTTTACGCTAGCAAGCGTTTCCTTGAAGGTTTCTTGTTACAGTACTGCAACATATTAACATAATTCAACACTGACAACCTTATGGACCAATAAAAACAAACAGTAAGGACGTAGAAGTTCAGTTTAAAGTAACTTTAAACGGTATTTTACCTTTTATTGTTCGGTTGAGAACCCAAAACCTTTGGAGAACACAACACGACTGGGTTTCCGAGAAAAAAAAAGCTCAGTTGTGCACATGCGCAGTTCATCCACACCCATTAGATGAAAAAAAGCTTTGTTGATGCTGCTTTCACGTACCGAGCAGAAAATTGGAATTGCGAAGTAGTGGTTTACTATGACAATAAATGCAACACTAATTTGTTTATAATTTGTATATTTTTTATTTTAAGCTATTTTCTTATTTAAACTTAGAGACCTTAAAGTTATAAATACAAAACTGCTTCCTGTTTGCTTTTACAGAACTGTCAAAAATCAGTGCCACTCTACGTTTCCTGAGAAAATCGATTCATATATTGCTTTATGTTTTTTTTCTATTTAGTTTTAATCTCATTGAGACATGTAGTCTCATTTACAAGAGAGACCTGTGGCATGATAATTATTTCTTATTTCATTACTCGAGAGAGCACAATTATCAAAATGTCACTGATTTATAGACCGACCATTTTTACTGGACAATATGAAACTTGGCAAAAATCAGCAATACATAGTTATCAAAACAAAATTTTGAGACGTGTGTGAAAGATTATAGAAAAATGTTTATTGACATGCTTTTTATTGTTTACAATAGACGATTACAATTTCAGCTAATTAAACAGGTCAACTACATTAGTTTTATTAGAAAACTAACAACTTTATGTCTAACAAAACAATAATCCAAACAAAGATCCAATGTCATAAAGATTTGAAGAATTCATCTACTGATGGTCTTTTCAATAAACAGCAAAAGAGGCTACTTAGATTATACATTTGATGCGATAAAATTTGTTTTAATGTACTTTGTTTTATCTCTTGCATATAAAACTAGATAATCAAAAAAATTACATGGAGCTATATTTTCAAGTTAGGTAAAGAAAAGAGACTTTGTCGCTGACGTGCTTTTAATTATCAAGCAGTGGACAAACACAAGCTGATAATTTTCTTAAAAGACGCCAAGCAGTTGCAGGGCCACAGATATGGACAGGAGGATAACGCCAAAATAGCCAATGTAGCCGTAAGCACCATTCATCCTCTTGGCTGGATCTGGAAGAAAATATTAAAAATTAAAAAAAGGAGCAATTTGATATTAAAATATAAAAACACTAAATAACAAAACAGTGAAAAATTACCATTAAAATCGAATTAATGTCTGACTTTCCTGAGTAACCTTTCACCTGCTTGCCATCTTGTGTAAATAATTAAACAAAGCTAGGTGTGTAGCAAGGATCATGCACAGGCAATCACCGAACTGTGACCTCTGAAGTCTGGACTCCAGCCTACACTTCAAATAATTCATTTATAGTATTATTTTGTGTAAATTACTGTGYGAAATCACTCAAAAAAGATGTGACTGAACATCTGAGGAGAATACTGTTGCAACATTACTTCTATACCCATTTCATTATAGCAGGAACATTAAAAAAAAGGGTGATTTTGTTCTCCATTAAGTCTTTACACAGTAAATAAACAAACTCACCTCCTGTGTAGTAGCCCCAGGCATAGGAAAACCTGCTGGTCACCCAAATAGCACCAAGCACAGAGGCAGACAACTACAAAAAAGAAAGCATAAAACGTGAATTAGAATCCATTGGGGGAAAGTGGGCATTTCTGTAGTTTCTTGAAAATATGCTGACTCATTGTGACACATTTGAGACCGTTATCAGTAAAAAATTATCTCAAAGGTCACGAGTGGTCTCTTCAGTTGTGACTAATTTGTGGCTCCAAGACGACTGAACACAGCAGAAGGTAAAACAATCCTTGTGAGCAACTCTGTATGTTATATAAACATTATACCGGATAAACGAGGGCCGCAATAGTTTGGAAAACGAGCCACTGGGGGTACACCTCCAAGGTATTCTGATGGGCTCTCTGGATACAGTTGAAAACCTGCTCCTTGTCGCTGTACATGGTGGGATACTGCAAAACAATACAAACAAATATTACACAAGGTGCTTTCCAGTAACTTAATAAACAAAACAACACAAAAAAATCTTTATTTTTTTAATAAATGCGCATGAACTACCTTGACG